AGATAGATAGATAGATAGATAGATAGATAGATAGATAGATAGATAGATAGATAGATAGAAGTATAGCTAAATCTATTTAATTATAGCTTGCCACCCAGACCAAACCAGAGCTGCTGTGCAATCCCTAACTTTGAGGTGGTGAGAATCTTAGGCTGAGTCTCAGCAAGTTCCACTTAGTTTGTTCAGAAAACCTTTAGCTTATTAATGGTCATGGGGTTGCAACTTGGGGGTCCTCCTGGACTCTTGACTTCTGCTGAAGCAGCAGATGGAAGCTATGGCCAGGAGGAACTTTGCTCAGTCACAGCCTTACTGAGCGCTAGTGATAGTAACTCTTGCCTCGTTGCCACACGTCTCGACTACACCCTGGAAGGGGACCCTGGAACTTCATTTGCTGCAAAACCCAGCAGCCGCAATGTTAGCAGGCGCGTACCTATTGTTATGTAGAACCAATTCTCCATCGTGGCAGGGTCTACTCATTAGTTGCCAAGAGCAGTTCAAAGTGCTGGTTATAATCTGTGGGGCCCTGCATGGCTTGATTGTAGGTTACCTGAGGAACCATGTCCTCCAGGTTGAATCCACTTGGACCATGTGTTGGAGGGGCTTGGGGTTCTGCCCCACAAGACAGCAAAGACAAGCTATCTTTTAGTGTCCGCTCTGCCTTGGAACACCCTGTGCCCAGATTTGTGCCAGTTACCCTCCTTACTGGTGTCCCTCGCTGCCTCTTTACTTCTTTCAAACTCGTCACTTGTATTCAGTCCACATGCTTGCAGCACCGATGCATTCTTAATCTTAATAATTCTTGTTTGACAACACACACTTTTCAAGTATCCCATTCTACATTCTACTTACTTTTATAACTCTCCTGAGAAACTCAGCCTGAACTTCCTTATAGCAAAGTGGACAGACACACATTCTTATGTGTACCAACGCTGGCGTCTTTCAACAAACATTCATCATGACAGACCCTATACTACCCACTACCCCTTCTGCCAGCATTGTGTACATCTTAGAATTTCTCCATCAATTTCCTCATTTAAGTGAGAATTCTTCCGAGGGACACATATTCCCTCTCTTTGTGTATAACTCTCAAATGATTGCTTCATTTTCCCTTGGTCTTTGATACATTCATCTTCAGATCTAACTCCTTGTTGCATCATATAATCTGCCCAATATTTGCTGAAAATTATTCAAATTCTCTACACAGCATCCTGTGTATACAAAAGTGCACATCCCCAGGTAACACAGCACTACGGTCACCAGAGGTAGTCCTTGCTTAAGGACTGTTCATTTGATGATGGTTCAAAGTTATGACAGCCTCAGAAAAAGTGCTTTACAACCTCTACTCACAACCATCGCAAACTGTTGTGCCACCCCCGCGATCACATGATCGTGATTTGCGACCTTTTCTTTACAGTCGTTAAGCTAATCACCATGTTCATTAAGTGAATCACATGGTTGTTAAGTGAATTCTAGCAAAAAAAAGTCATTTGGGAAGCTGGATTCGCTTAATGACCACAGTGATTCGCTTAATGACCATCATAAAAAGTCATAAAATCAGTTCCGGTCACGTGGTGACTTGCTTAATGACCGTCCCACTTAACGACCAATTTTCCAGTGCCTATTGTGGTTGTTAAGCAAGGACTACCTGTACAATAATTCTTTAGGCATTTCTTCATCAATACATTAAACAACCGGGGGACACCACATGTCTTTGTTGTACCCCTTGCTCAATGTTGAACCATTCACTAAGAATTCCATTTATTCTCCTGTAAGCTTACTTCCATCAAGCGCCACTCTTAATCACATCTGGAGCTTGTCTGCATTTACAGCCTTTAAGCTTCTTGTTTTCTTAAACTGGCTGAATGTGAAGCTGGCTTAAGAAATCTCTTTCCAGATTTCAACCCCTTCCTCCACTTAGACCATGATATTCCGTTTACCACAGGCCCAGATCGGTGGATTCCCATGCTGCTTTACCCCTCCTGACCCCATAAAAAAAAGAAAGAAAGGAAACCCCAGTTTTACCATTTTTCTTGTCTCTTGGGCTGGAAGGGGACAGTGGCAAAACTCTTGTTAATTTCACTTGATTTTTTTTTTTTTTTAAGCCCCCGTGTTCCTGCCAGGGTGCACAGTCACCAACTGGAAGGGAGGCATTTGCCTACTGTGAAAGGAAACACAGAGGATGAAAAAGACTTGAGCTGGCACCAGTCGGAAAATGCTACTTTTGATGTGCAGTGGAAAAAGAAAGGCCGCACCCCAACAACCGGCCCCTTCTCGATAGGCCTGGTAGGCAGATGTGGTTCTGGCAAGGCATTGGGTGGTTCTGCCCCTGGCCTTGCTGCCTACGGGACTTCGGAGATAAAGACCCGCACTTTAAGGATGTGGGTTACCCTCGCTGTGCCATTTCGTCCAGGTAGAATTGAAGGTGGTGTGACGCCACTTTATGAATTCCTTTTCGTCCATTTTTTTTTCTTGGATACAAACATTTAAAAGCTATGTCATTACCACTCTGAGACATATTACTGTCCTTTCCATGCAGTTTCTGAAATCTTTCAGCCATTCCCTTGCTGCAGTTTTATCCCAAATCGTTTAACTACTGTAAGTTTCAATTCCACTCTACTGGAAGCTGTTTATTCCTCTTGGATTTGATTATGTGCCATCCAGTTGTCATCAACTTTTAGCAACCACATAGATAGAATTTCTCCACAACAATCTGTCCCTGACCTGGCCTTCCAGCTGTGCGCCCACCGTCACCTTCTAGCTGTTTTCCTCTCTCCCCCTCGCCCACCCTTCCCTCCTTTGTCAGGTTACTGACTTCAGATAGACCCCATAACATTCACAAGAGAGAGAGTCTTCCTCAATTTGACACTGACCCAATCTGGTTGTCTCTTCTCTTTCTACAGAGAGTAGAAAGACTAAAGAAGTCAGACTAAATACTGATTGATTGATTGATTGATTGATTGATTGATTGATTGATTATGTGTCATCAAGTCATTTTTGATTCCTAGCGACCACATAGCTAGATTTTCTCCATGACGATCTGTCCCTAACCTGCTCTTTCAAGTCTTCCAATGGCAGACTTATCGCCTCTGTAACTGAGTCCACCCACCTTGCTGCTGGTCATCCTCTTATCTTTCCTTCCCCCTTTCCCAGCATCAGAGCCTTCTTCAGAGAGCTCAGTCTTCACATCGTGTGTCTGAAATTGCCCACTTCCGAAACGGTTCTTTATTTCCATCGCTCTGCATATTCTCTGCCTCTTTCAATTTTAACTGTTCTTTTGCTCTCTTTGACTACTTTTTTGCAACCCTTTCCTCTCTATACATATGGTAAGATATCATCCTAATTTTTTGCAGCAGTCTTACATGCATTTCTTCTCATTAACAGCCTTTGTCACTTCATCGTTCCACCAAGTGTCCTTTTTCATGCTTCCTGTTAGCGTAACTCTACCTGGTTCTGTGGAACTCTGTACCATAACTCTTTTCACTCTGTTCCAGCCATGCTCTTTCTTCACATCCTCTTTCCATCCATTCTGTTGGGAGATTATCTTCTAATACTTTCATACAGCTCATTCTTTATCTTCCCACTGTCTTTATACTTTCATTCTAATTTCTTATTCTTTTTTCCCACCTCCATTTTTCCCTAAGATGCACTCTTGACACCACCAAACACTGATTCTCTTATGGCTTTGTGTTCTGTGTGGATCTAACTAAATGGCTTGCTCAACAAATCGTGGTTTAAAAATTGTGGGTTGATACAGAGTTTGAACCACAACCACCAATAAGGAATTCTGAAGAACTTGAAATCTGGCACATTGTTTTATTTGGTTTTGTTGATTCAAATACAGGGTTGTCCAAGTTGTGTATTGTAAGTATTTTGAAGTACAGTGGTACCTCGGGATACGAACGCCTCTACTAACGAACTTTTTGGGTTACGACC